CAGAGGCACTTTCACTCACAAGTTCCTGGGTCAGAGCTAGCTTAGCTTCTCTAGGGTAATACCCAGTCTCTCAGCTCAGTTGTTTTACTACAGCGAGTCATACTGGAGCAAGATGAAGGCCCAATCCCATTTCACCCCTTGACCCACCACTTAGCCCTTAGCCCTCTGTTTTGTGCGTTCACGTCTAGGGATAGGGTGTCCCAATTTTTGTTGAGAGAGAGGGGTAGGGCGAAGTGTTAGGGCTACATGGCCCTCCAAACAGAGGTTTTTCAGAGACACACTCCAAAGAGAGTGTTATGAGAAAAAAAGAAAAACCGGCAAGATGGCGACGACCACAGAAACCCACAAATGTATTTTCTCCGTTAAAAAAATCCGATAACCATTGTATTATCTTGTATTATGGTTGTTTTCTTCATAGCAAGCATAAAAAATCGCTAATAGCATGTCTCAGTAGCTAGCTAGCTAACTTTCCCGTTCCACCTTAACGCGAAATAGTCCAGCAGTTCTGATGCCTGAAGCACCAGAATGTAAATTCTGCACCATTTAAGGTGGAACAGAAAAATTTGAACAAGAAGCTGGTGAATAGCTTCTTGGTGGTAACTTCAGCTTCGTATCACCAAAGAATTAGCGGCGGGCGATAATAAATAATTGTTTTATACCCCTGTTTGAAAGCATATGATGCTCTAAATGTAACTAAAGCCCAGCGGCAACGTTGCTGAACTTTTCCCTTCTCTGCTATCGCTGAAGATGGGCCAGGTTACCTAACGTTCCAGAGCACTGCTAGTAGCCTATTAATGAAGCAGTGTTCTTTTTTTTTGAGGGTTGTCCCATTTTGTAGGGCAACTCAGTTCCAAGGGGTTATGGTGACACTCGAAAACAAGGGGTAGGGGTAAAAAGAAGAAATGGGATTGGGCCGAGGTTTTAAAGCAAGTCGGCATTTTTTCCAAGCACTCAAGCTAAACTTAAAGTAAAATAACTAAAATGGGAAGAGCCATGAGCTAGGTAAAGCTCTCTCTCTCCCAAGATATTTAGAAAGCTGGTTAATGGTAAATTAATCCTCTCTATTCAGTTTCCTAACACAGCGATTATTGCCTGTTAAGCACTGTCATCAGATTTTTTGTAAATCACCGAAGATATCCGATTACATCACCCAGGCCTACCAGACACCCAAAGTGTTTAATGCCTCTGCCTCACATAAGGTTACATGAAATGGCTATGAATATGATGCCTGAGATATTGTTTTATAATAGTTTTGAATAAAGTCTTTGCCTAAAACATATTTTCAAAAATACAATCTTGGCAGAGAGATACATGCAAGGCATCGGAAGAAAAACTAGTGACCATCATTGTAGTCGGTAAGTTTACAATTATTTCATATCATACCACTCTGAATGACTTTGTTTATGTTTCAGTGATTGAATAATGCTTTTTTTTGTAAAAGTCCCCTTTAAACAAGGATATAATGTAGTATTTACCATTGCCCTATTTACAGTAACTAGACAGAGGCTGTCCTTTTCAGATGTGTAGAAGCCATTTCTAGTCAACGTTTGTTTTAAGAGGTTTCTCACTCTTATCCAGCAAGTGATATTAATGCTTAATTTGATTTAGAGAACTGGAAACTGAGTTAAAATCTCTCCCATTTTGAGCCAGTGACTGTTTTTCTATCACTACCCATAATCATTTGTAATGTTCTTGCCTGTTGAAAGTCTGTTATTAGGCATAAACATCTGTAAGTTCTTTTAAGTGATACAACTTTCCAAAAATACTTCTTCTAATACTTCTACAAGAAAAACACTCAAAATACAATCTTATTAGCAACAAAAGTGTTTTCTTCTCAAAACCATTCTGTTTTTTTGTAGCCGGAGTCCAGCTCCTGTGTCCTCGGGGACTGGAGGAGAGCACAGTTTGCTAATTTCCCTGTTCAAACACAAACACACCTACCAAAGCTGCTAATTAAAAGCCCAGTTGAATCAGGTGTGTTTGAGCAAGGAAATCACCAAACTGTCTCCAGGCCTCTAGAACTACACACTTTAAAAGATCCTTCTTTAAAGGTTCTTTGTTACAGGCAAGCTTGACATTGTAAAGATTAACATAATATGCCTTCACCATGAATGGATTTATTTATGTATTTTTTTTTTTTTTTAAAAAGGGTCCGTCTATTATTGCAAGTCATAATCATAATAATAGAAGAACCCTTTTTGGTGCTTTATAGAACCATTTTCTAAAAAGGTGCAACTTACAACCATATTCAACACATTCTTCATCAATCTGAAGAACAATTTCACCATGCAAAGAACCATTTAAGCATGCAATGGTTCTAAATAGGACTATTGCCTTTACTATAGAACCCTTGAAGATTCATCTTTTTTAAGTGTGTATTGAACACTCCTGTACTGCATCCTAAAACCACATATTACACTATACGTACCACAATAATGGACAGACTACAAATGATTGTTTATGGTGACATATTTTATATGGTACTATGCAGTTCTGGGTGTAGCCTAGTGGGCTGTGTGGATCTACATGCTTGTCAGCTCTGCCAATAAAAATTGCGGCCATGGAGGTCAAGTAAAATCAAAGAAAGACGATAGGAATGCGAGTTTCATTCAACTATTTGGATGCATTCCTGATTCACATAAATGTAAAAGTTGGCAGCCCTGTATCTGATAAACAATCAGCTGTTTTTTCCTGGATTTAAAGGGGACGTCTTCAAAATTCCTACATAATCCTGTTATTCATAGGTAAACAAAATCATTCAGAGTGGTTTGATGTGAAATGGTTCAGTGCAGAGAGACATACCGAATCAGATTTTCTTTACAGTGGTAGTGATAGGAACCAGGGGTCGCAATGTTTAGGATACAAATACAGCCATTTTATTTACTATTCAAAATGACCAGTGGACCTACATGTGTCTTCTAAGTTTGTATATGTAATTATAATAATGGAAAAAAGTAGTAAATCTAAAAAAAAAAAATCATTTTCTATGGGGACTATTTTGCCTCACAGCACCCCGCATGTACCCCTCCACGTTGAATAGATTTTAAAACCTATGTTTTAGGCCACATCCTTGTCTTAATACTACTGTAAAACAAAGTATCAGGTAGCATATTTGTAACCAATTCTGATGCAATTTGAGAGTGAGAGAGTGGAAACTGGTGGAAAGGTGGGTGTGTTACAACAGGGAAAAACAACATGGAGGGCAGAGATACTCCAAGACTAAGCATGTAAACCACTGTAGTTGCCACTTTGCATGGACAGAGTTCATTTTAGGCCTCAAAACTCTTAAAAATTATTTTCCACTTTACGCTGTCAAATCAGATACTATGAAAGTTTTTTTCTGAAATGTACAGCATTTTTTTCTGAAATGTACAGCATTTTTTGCTATATATACACACACAAACACACACATTATCTAAGCCACTTATCCTCGAAGTCTTTATATAGTTTTTTGCTCTCTAAACCAAAGAATATTGCAATATTTCTTGTATTAGCAATAATTGCAACTCATGACTCTTGTTACCAAATTGACACTTCTGGTAACAAAACCTACTAAATCAAATGTTCTAAGACTGTTTTCACCAAAACTGACTGAATAACAGGGTCAAAGCGAGCAACAGGGTTCAACACAGAGATCATATTGCCCAATACACTGACATGAATGCATTTGCAAATTTGGTCTAAAATAAGCTCACATTCAGGTGAGGTTAACTTGACATGGTGAACATGTTGCATGCTAACAATGATTAACCAAATAGTTTATGTAAATGTTTAAAATATAAGTAAATCTTTTTTCCTAACAATAATTTTGGCAATAGGGTTGAACGGTCAGTCTTTATTCATGCAACCAAAACATTTTTTGTGTGTGAAGTGAGAAAACAGAATGAGAACACTTACTCACTTAGAAATCAAGATGGTGCAACTTCCTTTATATATCACAATAAACGGAATGTTCCTTTTTTTTACGAGAGGCAGCAGGTTTGGGTAACAGTGCTGTGCATAAAAAAATATGAGACCCAAGCTGAAATGACTTTTTCTATTACATTAAATAATTGAATAGAGAAAAACAACTCTTTTAACATTAAAATGCTTGGAAATTAACCAAATAATATTATAATGATGGTATTACCATCACCATATTAAAGGGGAATTCCACCAGTTTTCAAAATGACTGCATAATTCAGTGGTTGAGATGTAAACAAAGTCATTTACAGTGGTTTGATGTGAAATTTGTAGAGAAACTTACCAACTCACACACATAAAGACATTTTATTTACAATCAAAAACCACCAGTGAACCTGCACATGTCTTCTGAGTTTTATATGTAATGTTGATGATGGGACTATTTTGCCTTAGAACACCATTCAGGTATTCCTTCACCATGCATAGATTAAAATAAACTGGTTAAAATGCATTTACCCTTTTTACAAAACTAACATAAAATAATGTCTCAGACATCAGGCTGATTATTCATATGCACTTCATGTTATAACTGTCTCTGTGTAGCTTTTAGAGGCATTAACACGTAAGACGTCTGGTTCCTATCACCACTACTGTAAAAATTCAGACTCTGTAAGTTTCTCTAGAATGAAGCATTTTACACCAAACCACTCTGAATGGCTCTGTTTACATCTTAACCATTTAATTATGCAGATTCAAAAAAAACAACAACAATCACTTTTTTGCTTTTAAAAAGGACAGAAACCGATCTCTACTCATGAAAAGAATCAGTAGCAGATCACTGGCTACATCTTAGCTTAGTGGCACTTTTTAATCTGCTTTCCTTAATTTTGCCTGATCTAATAGCCATATGGATTTACTGCCGTTATGCTTAGTGAGGACGCTTGGGCTACAGATCAGGCAGAATACAGCTGACAGGGAAAGGAAGTTTCCTTCGGATGCAGCCGCTGTCTTACAGCACGTCATAGCCGTTACTAGACACTAATACAAACCACCACACGATGTCGCTGTTTCTCAAAGTTTAAGGTAATCCTATTTTGTCGACATATGGCAATATGAACCGCGTCAAGACAAACTACTTTTATCTTGACACTGCTTTATACTGAAATTCAGCAGTTGGCCTCACGTGTTCATGAGCTCGACTCAAATTTACTCCTCCGAAGCGTAGCTAGCTACTTCTGAAGCAGATGAAGGAATCACTGCAACGTCTGTGTAGCCCACACCTGACAGAGAGCTGGTAGGTAGCTTTCAGGAGATGGTTCTGTCATATCAGGCCAGACGTTTCGTATTTGATTACGGCATTTGCCTCCTCCTTCAGCAGACTACGTGACGTTGAGCGGACAGGTGGATCTGATGGATCTGAGTTTGAGAGATATGGCGCAGTGGACAATGTGGACACGGCAGAGGATCGGTATGTAGGCTAGAGCTTATAATGCTGCCTCACGGTTTCAGGATGAAGTCATAGCGACGGTTAAAACGCACGCGGCCTGATGTAAACAATTTTAAACAGGACTGAGGAGCAGCGACGCGACGCTCGTCCTTGAACGCTTGTGAACTTCGCTGTGAGACTGTGAGGGTCGTCTCTCATCGGTTTCCCCTCAGGGTTTAGGTGAGTATGGACAAGGTGATGTAAACAGTAGACACTGTCACGGTTGAGCTACATTTGGGAAGTAGTTTTGTTCCCTTTTCTAGAAGGATCATTCCTCAGTGTCATTCTGTTAGTTACACTGGTGTTAATGTTATCCTTGTGATCTGTTTGGTTTTGACACCTGTAGGTTTTAACTAAAGGTTACTTTTCAGTCAAGCATTTCTAACTGGGCCATGCCTATACTTAGTGTGGCATCAGCAAGGCCTGTGTCTTAAGTGAAAAACAAAATTAGCTCTCAGTAGTTCTCTTTTTTAATTAAAGTTGCTAATAAGCAGTTGATATCTATGCTAATGGCAGGCAACTTTGTGACTGAATAAGGTTGTATGTACAAACAAGACAAATGTCAATTGAACAGACTTTGAAAGTGCTGGTCAGTCACTTTAAACTCAAGTCAATCACTATGTCATTCTCAAATTCATATTCATTGTGTCTTAAACTATGGCATGAATGAAAAGCAAGATATGTGTCCATTGGGTCATTGTCTTTGACTTGTCATGTCTTCTGCGGTGATGTTATCAGGCTAATGGACCAGATCGTCTGCATTCCAGGAAGTTTTTCATACACAGTTCCGTCCACTGGAGCTAAGGGCCACTCCTCGGCTTCTGTGGCAGCGGAGAGCTTTTTGTGCCATTGTCTGAGAGCTGGTCAAGTGCACTCTGAGCATGTGCGTTTGTGGCTGAGTTTTACCCTGCAAGGTTTGCTCTTCACTATAAAAATGGCTCAGCAGATCAACCTAAAAAAATACTTGATGTAGTAACTAGTAAATTAACTAGTTTTATTCACCCTAAATAAATACTTTGAATGAACGATTCTTTCGATCAATGTAATTGTTTGAGTTGAATAAAACTAGTTTAATTTACTTCTTACTACATGAAGTGATTTTTTTAGGTTGATCTGACGAGCCATTTTTTACAGTGTTTGCCCCTTTTTTGCTTCAGTCACATTTTGTTTATTGTGTTTTATATGCTTTTCACAGTCGTCTGTGAGTAAATCTCACATGTTGCAACTTAAAAGTGAATGTTCCCCTCTATGTGAACTTTGCAAAGTTTGTGCAAAGACTTGTGCACAATGTGGTGAACGTTTTTGCACCTTAGTAGTGCCGGGGCCTTTTTTTGTTTTGTTTTGTGATGGTGTGCATGTGTGCATCCTGTCACAGAGCACTGCTGGCCCTGTTTAGACCGCAGCAAATGGGCCGCTTCCTCAGTGGGCGTCGCTTCCTTGCCACTGGCTGCTGCAGTCAGTCAGTCTATTCATCAGTGTGTGTGTGTGTGTGTGTGTGTGTGTGTGTGTGTGTGTGTGTGTGCATGTGTGTGTGTCCTTGCTGGCCTTATCCCATTCCCTGCTGCTAACAGCCCCTCCTTTCCCCAATACACTCCTCCATTGACCCACCCATCCCCCCTCCAGTCACACACTCATGCCACACGAGGCCCTGCAGTCTGACTCAGTGGAGAAAGTTACCCCAGTCTGAGTGTATGTATGTGTTTATGTGCCAGGCTGTTCTCCCACTGGAGCGCACCACCTTCCACCGCCTCTCCCCGTGCTGGGAGCTCAAGCTTTGAGTTCTCTCAGCAACTGAAGGTAATGATGCACTTTAATTGATCTTTCATGTGATCAGTCCTGTTGTTAACCTGTCGTGTTTGTTCCTGGGTAGCCCACCAGGATGGTCCACTGCACTGCACCACTTTAAACCAGGCTTGGAGCGAGGCAGTGAAACATGCTGAGCTGGAGCTTTTTCTGTTTGTGTGCATGTGGCTTGGTTGTATGCAATCCAAAAGATTTGCTTTGTCAGATTAAAAGCTGTCTGTAGCTGCTGACACAGCAGAGCAGAAAAAGGAAAGTAAAAAAAACTGAGAATGATATTGAGACTTATCTAGCGTCGCTTCTTCATTATCTTGTAGAAAGTCTCTAATTGTTGGATTGAAGTGTAGCATCTAATGTGCAAAGTCTTGGTGAGTTGTTAAGTGATTGACACATGTAGCATCTTTTTTGGGTCTCTGAAGACCCTCCTCCATGAGCCCACAGTGTTCCACCCCAGAGAACATCAATGAAACAATGGAGACCGCTTGCCACCTAAGTGGCAGGCTGTTATATACATTGTTTCCATCTTGTGAGCTTCCTCTTTGATTTTTTTTAATCTTACAATTGCTTTTGAAATTCTCAGTGTTTGCCAAGATATTACTGCTGTCATGTCAAAACCTTGGTAACTTTGGTAAAATATTTGAAAAATATTTTTTTACTTAAATTGACTACATCATTTAAACACAAACTGTTCTTGCATTGTGTAACGATTTGATGATGAATGGCCCAATAGAAATGCCCCCAAAATTACTTGGAATAAAATCACTTTTTATTTACTTACATTAAATGTTTTTGCCTTTTTATGTTTTAGTGAGCATTGTGACAAAGTTTGTTACGATAGTGATAAAATCATAATGGGTCATTGTAGTTTACTCAGCAATTATGCTGATGCCTTCTTCCCTTTCTTTCATTCTTGCTGTGCTGGGCACCTTGCTTCTGCTGTCCTCAGAGCTCTGGTTCTCTGTTCAGTAAGGTTCATTTTAAACATTACTTTAACACTTTCCATCTGCGTCTGTCCTGAACCCAGGTAGCCCTAGCATGAAGCGAGCCCCCAGAACCAATGGATCTACAGCAGAGAGCCTGAGGAGGCAGGAAACAGCAGAGGAACTCGCCAAGGAAGTCAAAGAAGTGGCTGGACAGGTCAGAGGCCCGAGAACAGTATTTGGGATGGTGAAAAACATGGATGGACCTGCTGAGGACCTAGCAGAGGAGGAGGAAGAGGAGAATGAAGCAGAGAGAAAGAAGAAGTCTGCAGCCGAACAGGCTGCAGCTAGAGAAAGGGCAGCTCAGAGGCAACTCATGGCCATCCAGGAACTGATGGACACGGAGAAGAACTATCTGAAACACCTGCAGATCTGCACGGTCACTATCCGCAGCAACCTTCAGAAGCTACAGGTTCGCCAGATGCACTTTGTGGCACTTTGCGTTCATGCTGTCTTTGCTCTCAGATTCAAACTGCTTGTTGTTGTTATTGTTGTGAAGTTGGCAGATGTTCATCAACAAGTTCAGTTTCCTCACCACAGACTGATATCATTAGGTAATCAGTGTGTGTCCTTGGCTCACTGATTTCAGATTTTGTTTCAGTGTAAAGAAGGTCTGTACTATGATTAAACAGTCTGTGGTGTTGTCATAAATTAAACCACTATACAGATAAAAATCAAATGTACACAATTTGCCCCCTACTTTAAATTTCGGCCAAAAACGTTTAGTGCAGAAAGTTTGTATGCCTTAAACCATGTCAAGCTGTTAAACAGAAATTCCGCAGATTCCACAAATGTCAGCATAATTCAGTGGTTGAGATGTTAACATTGTCATCCAGAGTGGTTTGATGTGAAATGGTGGAATGTAGAGAAACAAAAGCAGCTCAGATTTCTTTACAGTGGTGGTGATAGGAACCAGGGGTTACGATGTCTACAACACAAATATAACCATTTTACTTATTATCCCAAACCACCAGTGGACTTACATGTGTCTGAGTTTTTATATGTTATGTTGATTATGGTAAAATAGTTCTAAAAAGTTTTCTTTGGCAGCTATTTTGTCTTACAACACCCTACATGTACCTATCCACCATTAATAGACATAAAAAAATATTTTAGGCCAAAAATTGACCTCAAAACTCTCATAAAACAGTGTATTGTGCATCAGGCAGCACATTCCTCACCATTTCATGTTAAAACTTTGTGAGAGAGCTTTTACAGGCATTCAACTCTTTGGCTGTCTGGCTCTAATCACCACCACTATGAACAATTCTGACTTGGTAAGTTTCTCTAGAACAGAGCATTTCACACCAAACCACTCTGAATGACTTTGTTTACAGCTTAACCATTAAATTTTAGATCATTTTATTACTACAGGATACTATAATAATTTCAATTTAGTAATCTCATATAGACTTGTTTATGTGGTATTTGACACTGTACAACATACTGTAATCTATAAAAATTGAGAAAAGTATGGCGTAGCATCTATTTTAAAACCTGAACTTGTCTGTACTTTTGTCCATTTTTATAGACAACAGTTTATGTAGTGTCAGACGTGTGATTTATACATGCAGGTTGTACAGTGCTGTTGAGTGGGTTTAAGCTTCCATTACTTGTTATAATGTTGAGTGCGTCTGCGAACATTCATTGGGAGAAACCTGGCAAAAAAAAAACAGCAAAGTGAAAACACTACTCTTAAATTTCACATCTTCTATTATCCTCTATCCAGAAGTATAGTGTCATCATATTTTAATAAAACCCACCCCAAATCCACTAATTTCTGCATAATAAATTTGTTGAGATGAAAGCAAAGTCATTCACTGTCGTTTAATGTGAGAGGGTTCACTGTAGAGAAACTTACCAACTCAGATTTCTTTACAGTGTTGGTGATAGGAACCTGTCTGCAACACAAATAAAGCCACAAGTGAATGTAATGTTGATGAGGGTAAAAAAAAAAGGTAAATCTGAAAGCATGTTTTCTTTGGGGTTTTCTGTTTGCCCCACAACACCGTGCGTGTGCCTCTCCGCCATGAAAGTACTAAATGAAAACTTTGGTCAAAACATTATTTCAAAACTATCATTACACAATCTCTTAGGCATCAGGCAGCATATTTGTAACCACTGCAACCAATATCTTTCTTTGAGGTAGCTTTTAAAGGCATAAAACGCTTTGGACGTCTGGTTCTTTTCACCACCACTGTGAATAATTCTGACTAGGTAAGTTTCTCTAGAATGGAGCATTTTGCTGTAAGCCACTCTGAATGACTTTGTTTACATCTTAACCATTTAAATATGCTGATGTTTTAGCAGAAAAAAAAGATAAAGAAAAAGAAATTCAGGGAATAAAACCTGTTGTGACTTAGCCCTAAAGGACTATCAGCTAGAAGCTGCTGTCAATGATCAGATCCATGCAAGAGGATTTGGCCCATATCACATTAAAACTAAGCACTATGAAACAAACCTTAGCCTGCCAGTTTCTAATGTCTGTATCTTATCCAAGGTGGGTGGCACTTCAGTTTGAGTCCCCTATTTAAACCTACACTATGTAACATTTGGCGATTTGGAGACCTCTCTGGTGGAAATGTGTAATTTCACACAACATGTAGAAGAACCTTTTGTAATGTTAGTTGTCCTTCGGACCCTTTCCCCAAGCAGATCTGATGATTGTGAGCACGCTGAAAGAGTATTCAAAGAGAACTCAGTCAAAACTTGTAATGTTCTACTGTTGTCCTCACATCTTCATCAGCATAATAAAGCAATAAGCCACGAGAGACCGTGGGTTACTGCGATTTTATCACGGGGAAGGGTGTTCTTGTCTCTGGACATGAAGCGGAGTGCCGAAAACTCCCTTCCCTGTGATAAAATCGCAGTAACTCACTGCCTCAAGTGGCTTATTGATTTCATAAAACGACGGCCAACATAAAATATATAAAACACACAATGTTTTAGATAATTATCTAAGTTATTATTAATAATAGTCGACATAAACAAGTATTCCGCCAAGAAATGTAGTTCCTTTAGAGTGCGGTATCGTTGCTAAGCAACCATTGACTGCTGAATGAGGAGAAGAATGTTCGGTCGCCAATCACTGTAAACTGCAGACATTTCATGATTTTTTTACAACGTATAACAGTGAACATGTGTAACGTAGCACTGTTTAATGCAAAAATATTCAGTTTCGAAGCACTTTTTGGTCACCAAATTACCACCGTGAGTCTTCCTCTGCCAGTCTGACGATGGCACTTTTCACGCTGGGGCTTAATCTCAAACGGCACCCTGCTCCCTACATAGCTAGTGCACTACGTAGGAATTTAAATACTCCTGCACACTAACAATGCAAAATATCGCTAAAAAGGTCATTTGGGATTTATCCACATTCATACTCGACAAGCAGTGCACTATTTGACAGGAGAAGCTAGAATTTCTAAACTTATTGTTACACAGCATACTAACGCTAGCTATTTAGCTAGGGAGTACGGAGCCGTTTGGGATTCAGCCTGGGTTTGACTCCTTCTAACTGAAACACGGACATTTAAAGCCTGTAAGCCATTCGGTTGACATTCTTTAGACTTTTATACGACCGTTTTTCAGTGAATCATATTGTGAGTACTTTAATTCAAGCCTGTGATAATTAATGTTGGAGTTGTTTAGCATGTTTGCTATATTTTAGCTTGTTGGCTAGCTGGCCAGCCTAGTTCTAGATAAGAAAATACGTTTTCAGCCCCTCAGTTTAAACAAAAACGGGTTCTTACTTCATCAGTACACTCGGTGCTCCGTGCGAGCAGCATTTGAGTCAAAGATTAATCCATTAATAGCAGAAGGGTTTTTCGTGCCGTGGCGCAGTAATACAGAGTTCAGTTGGTGTGAGGCGGTCATAGCCGCGTAATATTTTAGAGAGATTTTAGGACCGGAACTGTCCGTTTTATAATGTTGATTTTGCGCGAGACATTATATATAAAGACATATGACGTGATCCAAAAACACCTATGAAATCCGTCCCCCTCTGACTTTTACATTCTTATTTCAGGCCTTACAGGATGACTCGCAGCAGTGTGCAAACACCATATTTTAGTGTGTTCATGTTCCTGACTCAGTAATGCTACTTTGTTCAGTTTTAGCGTTTTTTAAAATTTACATTGTGCTGCTTTACGTGCTGGTAGAGGAAACACTGTATACAGCTACAAAATACTTTTGTAATGTTTTAGCGCAATTGTGACTGAAAATGCTCATGTCAGCAGAGTTTAAATGAACTGAACTTTAAAACAACACTCTGAAATTAATTGCAAGTAATTGTGTTTTTACAGTTAGTAAGTAAGAGCTTATAGTAATTAATGCAAAGTGATTTAGTCACATGAACATTTAATTCCCTGTAGCCCCCCCTGGCGAATCTGGATGGGATGTTCCAGCACATAGATGAAGTGATGGACGTGTCTGGCAGACTCCTGAGCCTCATGGACCAGGCGCAAATGCGGCCCAGTGATCCTCAGTATCTGGAAACTCTCTGTAAGTATCACAGGCTGAACTGGAATGTCAGGTTCACATTCCTCTGAATACTTTCCTTGAATGAATGCGTAAGTAGTCCAGAGATTATAGATACCTGAAAATAGTCTGTAAATATTTTAGGACTAACTGGAACTTCAGGTTCAAAGTCTTTCGAGCGTTTTCTGATGTAGGACAGTGCCTGAACCACTTCAGGGGAATGCACTGAAACTAATACAGCTAGCACACTCATCAAGCTGCTATGTAATGATGTGGCAGTACAGCTACATGTGACTGAGTTACATCAGAGCCATTGTAATTTTTTTATTATAGAAGAGAAAAAGTAAACTGACAGGAAGTTTATTTTTGGCCTCTGGGCATACTCGCCTAGTTCAAGGCTGCTCTTAATTGTGCGGGTTGAAATGAAATGTTATTGTCATCTTCCTTGGAAAGAATTTTTGCTTATAAATTTAGAGCAAAGTAATTTCATGCCTTTTATGCTGTTTACAGTGTTGCGGGCATAATGCCATTTTTGTAGGTTTCTGTTTGTCTGAAGGGTTTGCAGATTAAAAACATTTGTTTGCTGATGCTAGCCATGTCTGACTAAGTACAGTAATGGACGTTGTCTCCTAGGTATGGCTTTCCTGAACATGTCACGAGACATAGAGATGGCATATAAGGAGTACCTGGCCAACTACAATAACATCACAGCAATAGAGAACGGCTACAAACAGAAGGAGGCCCTGTGGATGGAGATGGTGAAAGTAATCAAGTCCTCTGCGTGAGTTAACAATCTTGCTGATTGTCTGCTGAATGCCTACTGTATTATTGCACTGTAAAGGACATTCTTTATGGTAGGGAAAGCCAAACATCTGTGTTGTGCTCTAACATAATTGGGAGTATTCCTAAAGAGTGATGAGCAGAAATATTTGGAAACTTGCATAGCAAAATGAAAGAATAAGATTTCAGTCACTCTACCCATTGGTATCCAACTGCAGAGCTACAGTGTTGCAACAGACCCACACTTTCAGACTGAACTTTCAGCTCCCTTACAAGTGTGCTTCCAGTGGTATATGCAGCTGCATTTTCAGCTTAATGTTAAAGCTGCACTAAGATTTTGTAGAGTACATAGCATTACTGAGTCTGAGAAAATAAAACGTGTCAAAATATGGTGTCTGTGCACTGCTGCAAGTCATCCTATAAAGCCTGCAGTAGTAATTTAGATGCTCTGTAGAGGTGTCTGATCGAGTCAAAAAGTTTTTCAGACCATGTCATACGTTTTCACATACGGCTGGATGTTTAGGTCTGAAATGCAGAATCAGCTTTATAATGATGAAGATGTGATGACAGTAGTAAATAATTAATGCATTCTCTCCTTGCACACACTCACAATTATCAGATTCATCCACTCAGGCAAGGGGTCTGAAGCACAACTGATGTTACAAAATGTTCTTTCACACATTAAATGCAATTACACATTTCCACCAGCGAGGGCTCCAAATCCCTGAAACTTACATAGTGCAGCTTTAAATGTGTCTTATGTTAATATCATTGCAAAACCTAGTACTTCTATAGTAAACTATAAGATATAGTACTTCTATAGTGCTGTAAATCACTTCCATAATAATTTGATTTTGGATAAATTAATTATGTAATAATTGCTGTATATTATCTTATAGTAAACTGTGGTGATTTTCCAAGTGACTTTAAGATTCTTATAGGAGTCCTGTAGAATTTCATGTAACACTGCTGTAGATCCTAAGGGTATGTTCAGGGGTTAATGTTTCCATTCTCAGTTTGTTAGAGCATTTAACATTACAAAAGTATAACAATAGAAACTTTAGAATGGCATGGTGGAGTTTAGCGTGAGCCATCTAGACTGGTTTCTTAGCAGCATAGAAATACCAAACAAAAACTGTGAAAATATGAAATATGATCTCATTGTAACAACAACAGCACTGAATTGTTGTTCCACTTACTGACAGAAAGGTGGTGATTGTGCAGATGAGTGGTCATGCCACTGCAGCCACAAGCTAACAGTGTGTTGAACTTCATTTGCTTCAGTGTGTTGAATGTATTGTTCCATGCCTGCGTGTAGGCCCTGTCCCAAACACTATGATACACTTTAGCCTGTTGTAACAGCCCTAGTAACTACATAGTCTCTCATTCACCATGCACATCATACCTGGAGGTCAGAGTGCAGGTCTGAGTGTGACACTGTGGCTCTGCAGATGCTTCTTAGACTGTACAGCAGAGGTCGGCAAGCACATGCACATTTTCATCCTGACCACAGAAATTGTATTTGTTATTTAGTTTATTTATGTGAAGTCAACAAATTCTGCTAATTTTCAAAAAATCTAATTATTGAACCCAAAACTTTGAAATGACACAGTGTCCTTGAGAGCCTTGAGGCTGAGCTTCAGCATTAAATATAGTTGATGGTGATAAAATAAAAACAACATCCCATTCCGCTCACCTTTGTACCATAACTTTTACTTTTACTCATATGAAACGGCCTGGAAAATACTCATGTCCTAAAAACTATTAAAAATGCAGTGTTTTGGGCTGTTTAGTTTCAACATGAATCAGAAATGCTAACGCATTTTCCTTCAGTACCATGGCATATTTCTGCGAACAACACGTCAGGGAGGGTTTCTGAACTACCTGAGTGCTTTCTGTCAGTGACAGATGTGAAAAAATGAAACATTTGGTTGGTTAATGTTATTTTTCCCTGTATGGTAGTGTACAGTGATGTAATCAAAGCTCAGAAGATACTTTAGAGGCAGGCAAAGGGAAAAGAATTTTGTCTTTTAAATCATAAATATGCTTAATATGTCCAGGGACATGGATGAAAACAGGTCACTTTTGATTGAGATTTGACCTTAAGACTGTCATAACTAATAAAAACACCTTTACCTGACAGATGAGCACAAGACTGAGGTTGTGCCCATTGTAGTGCAGACCACTACTATGCAGTCTGTACTTGCAGGAGCCATTTCTCTCTTCATTTCTCTTTATTTCTCTCCCTCAGGCCAGAGGTGAATGCTTCCACTCTGAGCTTTTTCCTGGTAATGCCCGTACAGAGAATTGCCCGCTACCCCCTGCTACTACAGACCATTCAGAAGCACACAGATGTTCAGCACCCTGCCTATGCCCTGTTGGAGCAGACTGCCCACACAGCTGTCCAGCTGAACTGCAGGATCAATGAATACAAGCGCTTCCGTGAAGTGGGTGAGAACAGGGCCTGAGTTTGGGGAACTTACTTAATGACAAAGCAGTTTGCTTATGTAACCCCCTAATGGCTTACTATTGACTATACAAGTAACAGGAATCATTCACAGGGAGGAAATCTCATTAAATGTTTTTGATTTTTTACTTATTTCCCCCATCTTTAAAGCTGATAAGTATAAGAAAACAGAAAACTTGACAATCAAGGACAAGATCAACCGATTGAGTGGCCACAGTATTGCCAAGAAGACAGCCAGGCTGAGCCAGTATATTAAACATGAGACTGGAATGGTAGCAAAGGTAAGGCATTATTTACTTAAGTGATCTGTCATAAACTGCGATTACATCCTGAAAAATGGCTTAATCTTTAAACAGGGAGGCATTGCCTCTTTTGTGTTATGTGCATACAATCTGCTTGGCAATCAGGTGTGTGCTACCTGAATAATCAGAGGTCATTCAACTGTGTTGTGAAATATAGTACAAGAAAATCTGCCCAGTACAATCAGAGGTCATTCAACTGTGTTGTGAAATATAGTACAAGAAAATCTGCCCAGTACATCAGGATGTTGTATTCTGACAATTAAAATATAATAATGTCATATAATATCAATAATAATTGATAATGCGTTTACCAAGTCCAAGACTTGGTAATAAAGTATTTCCATAAAGGACAATAAAGTCTATTCAGCTCACTTCAACCCAACCACTAGCTGAAGTAACCATTAAGCTCAAACAGCCTTACTATTTACATTTAGAATGGATCATTAATACTTATTTTCTTTCTTTTTTGATTGTAGGTAAAAGATGAGGAGTTTGATGCCCATGTTGGCTTTTTCTATATTCTGGAAAAGGCCATCATAGAGCTGCATGACAACATGGACGCCTACCTCAGCCACCTGCAGGTGCAAAAATAAAGCTGTTCTTCTGCTTTTGGCCATCTGGGCTACGTTTTCCGTATTTTAAAATTGAAATTATGTATTTGTGTGTTTTTGCTTTTCTTGGTTAGTTTCCATTGCTATTTCAGCTGGTGAGTTCAAAGAAAATCAATATGTGGTTCACCCCAGGACAGGCCATGCTGGAAAATGCAGTGATGTTAAAGCTCAGGTCACAGCTGTGCACTGGTAGAGTGTGTATCGAGTGTTCTGAGCTGTAAATGTCTGTTTTTTGTAACAGCGGTTCCTGAGCTGCAGGCCAGAGGAGGCTGACTTGGACCTGGAGGGAGAGAAGGCCGCCCTGTTCTCAAAGGAAATCACTGTGGCACTTAGACAGTGGATATACCCTGCATATGTAAGTGGATAATATAAAGCAGTTATGAAAAATGCAGTATAGGCTTGCGTCTCGTGTCTCATTCTGTTCACTGACTGACTCAGACCAACACTCAACCTAATGTAAAAGTTACAGTTCTACAAATATTGTTTCAGTACATTTGCTCACGTTATGTAGTTTAAACCTGAGCCGCTCCTATGTTTGTATCTTATACTCTAGGGCAGTTTTAGTGATTTTGGTGCCCTAGGCAAGGTAGCTTATTAAAACCTGGTTTGGGAATTGACAGTACTGAAAATAACTGCTATCATGGCAAATAACAGCAATTTTGGTATTATATATTGTAGCATAAGTTATTTAATACAAATACATATATCAACATTATATTTTTTATGGGACCTTGGCTCCTAGGGGGCCAAAACAGCCTGCCATTGCCCAGTAAACTCTTCCACCTGCTCACACCACCTCTTGCCCGACATCTTCCCGTAGGAGGCCCGTCTGAAGACTCTGGTCTTCAAACCTCTGTGCTCTCTGCGGGAGCTGATGACCGGTCCGCGCAACCTGATCCGCAAGCGGCAGGACAAGCTGCTGGACTTTGAGATGATCGAGGAGAAGAGTAACCTGAACTATGACGAACAGGCCGTGGCCAACACCTACAAAACCATCAACACGCTGCTGCTGACCGAACTGCCTCAGTTCAATGGAAAAACCTTACAACTGCTGTGGGCCACGCTAGGTGCTTTTAGCTGCTTGCAGAGGGACCTGGCTGCAGACATGGAGCAGCTTGCGACCAGCTTCACGCATCAGGTAAGAAGACCAAGGGAGCAGAGTAGATTAGAGAGTAGTATTTTCCAACACGGTCGTCAGGGTTTCATTCCCAACTCAGCCCACATTTTTTTCTCTATCTGAGCTCCCAGCACATCTGTACCTTGTTTTTCAATCCAGACTTCTGACTGTCACCAAACAGTCTAGTGAGTTCTGTCAGTGCACCAAGCTAAAGACCAACTACTTTGACAGTCATTTGACATGTTTTTACGTGATGTGTAGAAACGGATTGTCAAAACGGTGCTGCAACCAAACCAGACCCACAACAAACAAAGCTGTATACATTGGCAAACACAGCAGGATCTCATTTGCTGGCTGCTAAATGCTTCAAAGAAAACTCATGACTAACCTGAAGATGACATACATACATACATCATCTAAACCGCTTATCCTTCTGGGTCGCGGTGGGGTGCTGGAGCCTATCCCAGCTGTCATTGGGCGGAAGGCAGGATACACCCTGGACAGGTCGCCAGTCCATCGCAGGGCAGACAGACATACATATACAATCACACACACATTCACACCTAGGGGCAATTTCAGCATTTCCAATTGGCCTGACTGCATGTCTTTGGACCGTGGGAGGAAACCGGAGAACCCGGAGGAAACCCACGCAGACACGGGGAGAACATGCAAACTCCACACAGAGAGGACCCCGGTCGCCCGGCCGGGAATCGAACCCAGGCCCTTCTTGCTGTAAGGCGACAGCGCTACCCACTGCACCACCGTGCCGCCCTAACCTGAAGATGAGATGTAGTGAATTCATTGAACTTAATAAAAAGGCTCATTAGCGAAGTTCCCATCCAAAATTTTTACACATATTTTACATATATTATACATATTTTAACACTTCTGAAAGTTGTAGGCTATGGATATGGAAACTTCTGAGCAATATTTGATGTATCTTTATGAATGAAACTGGATAAAAATATTTCCAGTGTGGGTTTTCTTGACATTTACAGTATCAGCAAACACTTTTTCCACCAAAGCCAAACAGGAAAAAAGTTTTGTCGATTCCTGAAATGGCTCAAACCTATAATGGAAAAATTTTTTTCTGGAAAAAATAACGCATTTATGGATTACTTCATGTGACTTCTTCTCTTTTATTGCTAAACCAATTTCAGGAAATTATGTCATCACACATTTTTATGTCAGCACTTCATTAGGAACACCTGTACACCTACACATTCATGCAGTTATCTAATCAGCCAATTGTGTGGCAGCAGCACAGTGCATAAAATCATGCAGATATGGCCCAGCAGCTTCTGAGCAAAATCTGAGTGGCTGGTGATAGAAGCCGTTTATAATGCTTTTTGCAGTCTTGTTGAAAGTAGTTCACTTTACATAGTTACCAAATACATGAACACAGTGCATGATTTTCAAGCCATCTTTCAAGAACAAGTTGGCTTTCTATTCACCAGCTTCTTGTTAGAATTTTCCTGTTCCAACTTAAATGGTGCAACAGTTTCAGATGATTTAGTGCAACATTAGGAATGTAACCTCTGCACTGTTTAAAGTGGAGCAGGAGAATTTTAAGAAACCAATGCCAGCTTTGTTTGTTTTCTGTTTTCTGCTGCCACAGTCTTACCTGAAGGTTTTCCAGAACAGCGTGCCCGTTTAGAGGAGAGTGCAGAGTCAAGTGACTGGTGTTGGAGAGAAAGCTAAAATTGAACGTGCTCTGTGGTGTGTGCAGAGAATGTGCAGTTCTGTTGCATGTCTCTCTTTGCCGTGGATGAGCTGCTATCATGCTTAGTTTTTCTGAGGTTTTTCCTGGCTCTGATTTTCCCCCTTTTTCTGTTAGCACCACTCATCAGTGAGCCCTCTAAAATAAAAATGGGTGGAATGTGTTTATTTTACCATTCAGACATGGAATAGGAATTAGACACATTATAATTTGAAATAGTAATAATTTTTAATTATCATCATTATTTTTCACATACTGTGGTATACCATATTACTGTCATACTGCACAAACCTACTGCAGACTCCAGTGTCGAACCGAAACACATTGTGGCAAATTATCAGATCATTGGCTAAAAGAATCAATATAGGATCTCATCGTGATGAAACTTGTGATTTGCAACCCTCATATGTAGTTATAATATGTGTTGTACATTTTTCAAACTCACTTTCTAACTACCTTATTTATTTGTATATTGTTTTGTCTTTATGGTTCTTGGCCCACTACAAACATTGCATTTTGGCCTCCAAAGACAAAATATTTGTGCATTCCTGAATTAAACAGTTTTTGTATCTGTAAGGCTGAGTCCAATCTGTAGGCTTGTCTGTGCAGGAATTTTGGGTAACTGAAGCTTGAAGGAGTCCTTTGATTTCTCATAAACAAAGGACATGTTTCTTGGCCGCATTTGAAGGGTCCTACAAATGGGACAGCCTTCTGTGACATAACGGCCAAGAAATGCAGCTTTACTCTGCTGTATCCTTGGCTTTGAGACCAAGCTTGTACCAGATATTCAGTTATTGATTGAAGTGTTGGGAGAGAGTAAAACATGAAATGTCTGGGTGTCCTCAAGACTGAGTTGGGAAACGGTGAGCTTGTGTAAGGAATGTTCTAACTGTGGTTATGCAGGGCTAGAGTTCACCCTGCTAACACACCTAGTATCTAATAAATGTGGCGATGAACTGATGAGGTGATTAGGTTAGTTTGAGCAGAGAAATCACAGACATGCTTGACTCCAGGACTGGAGTTGTGCACTTCTGGTGTTGTGTAATCATATTTAGGTGCAGCTTGGGACAGCTTATTCCCATGATCGGCTGTTGGTGAAACAAACAGTCTTTGTTTTGGGTCCTGTTCCAGTTAGTGGTTAATGATCTGGCATACAAGCAATGCATTTTACTACACTGATTTAAAAACCCATGATTTACGTTAGGCATTTGTTGACTCTATGATAATCAGCGCTGTAACAAACGTGCTATTGCTATGGAAAGTGGAACTGAATTTATCTAATGTGTGCAGATGTTGTTTATGTGCTTCTCTGTGTCTCCCTACAGCTCCCACACAGCTATCTGGACAGTAGTGCATTCTGGGAGTGGGCAGAGGGCTCGGTGCTGGAGGAAGCCAGGAGGCTGGAGGCACTGTGTCAGAGTGTTCAGGACGAGCTCAACGCGCCCATTGTGCAGGTCTGTCCCAACACAGAGCCTAGCCATTGTCCACTCTTGGGTGGAGACAAGTTGCTAAGCAACAGCTTGTCCACCCACAAGTTGTTATGGAGCTTGTGAGCCGTGGTGGAAAGGAAACTTTACTCAGTGCAGCCATTCACCTTAAATTAGCTCACACATGGGTCATGTGTTTTGGATGAGTCCGTTACTATCCAAGCCAACCATTTTATGACTAGGCATACTGTATTACAGGTGGAAGCAGACAGCTGTGTTCTATTTGGAGTATTACTCTAAATATGAAAGGAAAAGCCTGTGACAGAACTGTGTGCCGCAGGAAACATAACAAAGTCTATTTGTACAAGGTTATAATCCATACATTTTGTTTTGACAGCATAAGTAGCCGTGACACTGTTGTCATAATTCATAGTGGTGAATCTCTTAGATTTTCTAAAGCCATTACTTTACCATCTGTGGTTTTTGATGATAGGCATGAGGCCATTACTTCAGCTGATGAGAATGTTGAAAAGGTAGATTCTGACAGATGAGTTTTGTCAGACTGGTTCAGCTATATCTGAGCACAGGTTCTAATCAGTGCCCCATTGTCTGCTGCTGTCACTGACATATTCACACTGATGTCTTCATAAGTAAGCTCTAGATGATCAAAAAGCAAGGACTTTGAATGGATGATGCCATACAAAGTCCTGGGTAATTGCATGTGAGGAATCAAAGATGATTATTAACTTATTTAGGTGTGGTCCATCATTTCTTGGGTGCTTGACCTACACTGTCAGCTGTACCAAATGAATAATAATTCAAATATCATATTGCTTGAGCATTGATGTAAGTTCTGCTGTCATATCTTGTTAGTTTTTGATGTGATTCTAAATATTTTCCTGTCTATGTTCTCGGCTTGATTCAGCCTGGCAAGACCTCATATGGCTGACTTGTTCAGTGTCATAAACAATAATTAGAACATACAGTAAGATACTTCTTGCCTAGTCACCATTTTACTGCAGTGACAGAGTGTCTGCAGTTGACAGTTGAAGTCCACAGTAGACAAAAGTGCACTAGAATTATAGTAATCCTTAGATTTCATTTTGTTTTGACTAAATAAGTAGCTGTGACACTGTTGTCATTATTCATAAGTCTCGCATGGTAAATATGATTACTTCACTGTCTGTGCTTTGGCATAAGGTCATTACTTTGATTTATACTTGTGCTCTAATGGGCTAATTTCACGTGTATGCTTTGTCAGACCCTCAACTCTGTGTCTGAGAAGCGTCTGAAAGCTCTGATGGACAAGTACAACCCGGAGAAGATCTACCAGCTAACTGGGCCGGTAGTGGCAACCCGTGACCTGGACCTCACACTGAACAAGGGCGAGCTGGTGGCTGTGGTCAGTGAGATGGACACACGAGGGGACCGCCGCCGCTGGCTGGTAGACGCAGGAGGTATAATTTCTGGGCATTATGGCCAAAAATCATCTCATGATATAATTTAATATTATCATAATTCAATATTGATTGATTATATGCTTTCACCAATTCTTAATTATATTTTAAGAATAGTATTACTCTTGTCTTGTTCTGTTTTTTTCTGTTTTAACTGATTTAAGAAAACCATTTCAATTCTGTACTGCAGAGGTCACATGGCTTTTTTGCCACAATAAACTGTTGTTAAGAGACATCTTCTTTTAACTGGAGGCTTTTTTAACTCTCTAATTTCAACCTTGAAAATTGCTCGCTAGCTGTTTTAACTCTCACATGGCGCGCTGGTTTTTGCTGTGGTGAGTGGATGGCTAGACCACTTCTTCCTACGCATCTAGCAAGTGAAAGATGCATGTCGCCCCCTTGTACTGAAAATGCAGTTGTCCAAAGGTCAAGCCTTTGCTGCTAATACCAGAATAACAGAGCGGCATAGTCATTTTAGTGAAAATACCTTAAACGTGTGCCATCAGCATTGAAAAAATGTTTGATTTCACTAATATTGATACTACTACCCAGGAGTAACCACAAGTCTGATCTGAGTTCAGACAACCTAGCTGTGCTTCATTTCTATGTTTTTTAATATAATGTGGAAAGCAGGATCTGTAGGTGATCACATGAAGTGTTGAACTAATTATTAGATATCTGCACAAACTGGCTTTTGTGTTCAGAACTACTTGAATGGAGTCCAGCCTGACCCACAGTAGAGAGAGAATAATGGTGATCGTTAGAAACACTTCCTGGTTCCCCATTGTTTTTTATCCTGTTTTATGTAATGTGTTTATGTGCTTTTCTGGATCAGAATGACCACACAGAACTGTTCCCTGTTTATGGTTTACATTTTTTTAAGAAATTGTAGTTCTTTAAAGTTGTTCAGCAGTAATTTAATTCAGTTTAAAGAGTCAATTTCATTGGAGTATTTGTGTGCAGAACAGCTGCAGTAATGAACGAGTAAGGCCTTCAGAATACCAACAGGGACATCTGCTGACCACTCTCTGTCATTGCACTGGCCTGCATGCTAAGGCCTTCTTATACAGCAGCCAAACTGGATGTGCCACAGCATACCTCCTGAGATGCCCTTTAATGTTGCAGGGTAGGAATCCTGAGGAGATACTGAGGAAAAGCGAAGGAATCTAATCTGATGCTGTCATTAATCTAGCCTGAAAATAGCAATGCTGCAGACCTTAAAGGGTGCATAGCATGAAAAACTTAATTTCGCTCACTTTTTTTAAATAAGAGAGTTTGATGTAGCATGTAAAAACCACATATGGAAACAGTCCATATACGGAAACTAAGCTCCAAAAACACCCTGTTTGAATTGACTGTTTTCACACAAACCATCACATTTACATATATCTGCCTGTTCACCTTATAGTTTAGCCCACTCACACTGAAGTTATAGAGTGTTTCTGCCCAGATTACTTTTTGAATGAGGTGCGATGCAGGGCAGCTGGTCAGACCAGAGATCTTGTGACAAATAGCAGTCTTAAAGGCACAGTAACAAAATCAGTTCAGTTCAGTTCAGTTCAGAAATCTGATCAGTTCTAAGGGATGAGAGGTTGAGAAATGGTCATGTAAAAAAGAACTACATCTCTTTTTGATACATAAAACCTTAAAAAATGTAGGATATGAGCTCTTTAAAGGGGTTATTTTTAAGACGAGTTTGCATGATCAGTATGCAACAGCAGCACAAGTAGCTTGTCGAATCTAAACACTGTAAACTACTAGGATTTCACAAGAAGAGAAGCTGAATAAATGTCACGATATAGATGTAAATGCTCAAGTAGTAATACAAGCAATCCCAGCACTTACTGTGTCCATTATAATTTCATGTGAAATTACAGTTGCAGTTGACAATAGTAAGAAATGCAGATTCAGTGTTCAAAAAGTACTGTAAATTTCAGGAGTCAGTGAGGGAGGTGGCATGAGCAGTAAGAGAGAGAGAGCTGAGAGTGCTGGGTGTACATACAACACAGTTAACCAAGACAATAAATATCAACATCCTACAGACAGACATAGTATCACAAAGTGAAGGAGAAAAAACACAAATACTGTCGTCTTGTAAAAAAAAAGTTAGTCTTTGTTATTTGTAGTGTCTGTCATATCTGTTTATGACATCCATGCATGATATCTGTAAAAATAAGTCAGCCCCTCAACATTAGATTAGTATTGGCCAGTTCAAAGTTTTCAGAATCAGCACTGGAACAGAAAAAGTGGTGTCCCATTACTTCTCATTGTGGGTAAAAATGTGTCAGGCATTGTAGAGCATTGATCTGAAGGTGATTGTGATTAAGGTGTTATGATTGATTATAATTATTATAATACTCAGTAAAGTATGTGCTCATTTTTTTGGCCAAAATAAAATTTGCAGGCTCTTTTACAATTTAAAAACCTCCCCCCAGAAACCTTCCTGCAGTACGTATTTCATGTATTTTTAAAAGTAATTCTCAGTTGTTCTACAGTTGAGATGAAATCTGAGATGTAAAGATGTACTGAATCTTTTCCTGCAATATTGTACTTACATAGAATCATTGTGAGATCAGAGATTAATCCGTTTGTTGTGAATGTGGCTGTGTTTTCAGGTCCCCGGGGCTATGTCCCGGCTTCAAAGCTGAACCGCTACCAACGTGTGACCACAGATCCACCACCTCCTTCCCCGAACCTGACCGCCACGTCCATTGGGCCGGGAACCAGGAGACACTCGTACACGCCTGGAGCTCAGCCTGTGGTCAGCATGGCCCTGCCCTGCTTCCAGGTGCAGTATTTGACATTTGAGTGACAGGTTATGAAGGCCAGTCATTTAGTTTGGATAGATGGCGAGATGAAGAGATTGATGGTGATGCTGTACCACCTCCAGAGCATCAATCAATCCCTCACGCACATGTTTAAACAAGGACAAATGTGTAGCGGTAGCAGCAGCATGTGAGAACGCCAACGTAATGAACATAGAAATGAGCAGCCTAGCCTTGTCAGCTGTATTAGATTACCATTTTGCACTGCTACCCACACTCACCGATTTATTCATTTATGTGGTTACCTGTCAAATAGTGGCATATTATTTGGCCGGCTGGTACTGGTGAAAAAGCCGAAGCCAAGACAATTTGCTTTGCGCCTGCACGGGTGGGAGTGTGAGATATATGGCCCTTTTTGATCGTAAAAAGTGTGACAGATTTTTGTACCCGACCTTTCAGGGTCATTAATCATTGCAGTAGTGCAGAATCCTTCCTGTACAGAAAAACACAGCCAGGTGACATCCAATCTCACAGATGCATTGCATCCTTCACCTTTTATAAGCTAGGTAGGGGGTGTTATAATTTGGCACCAAAGTCAGGCTAAAAAAAAAAAAATCTTGGCAGTATTTTCTAGCTTGGACTTGGAATAGACTCCAGTGTCAACCACAAGGGGGAGTGCTTGGTCCTTGTTGTGAATTGAGAATCTTCAGTCCTTCTTTTCTTCAGCTGAGAACTCTCTCTTGATACCATCGTTATTTCTATTATGGATTATAACTCGCTATCAACCAAGGACGCTCTCTGTTTCGAGCATGTTTTGTAATGTCTAAAAGACCACTTATTAGTAAACTTGAATAGGGCAAGTAGACTTAATGATGGTAATGCTAAAACACTCTTAAGTGCACTTTTAACATCCGCCGAACATTCTGTTCCACCTCATGGACAGATGCTCCTGTTTTTTGCTTTTTTTTATGAACATGGAATTCAGAATGCATGTGCACAGTCATTGTCAAAGTTCCTCCCAAGAGAAAGCATAGTGAAGGCCAGTTAATTCCACACAACTCTGTTAAAGAAAATTTAGAAATTTTGTCAAAAAATCAAATTTGCACTCTTAAAGCATGATCAATCAACCAAGACATTGTTTAATTCTTTTGTTTTGTACTGTTATGTGCAAAAGTGGAAGAAGTATGGACACAATTCAGACACGAATAAGGCTACTACTGCTGTTTTCAACTATGTAACTTTTTACCTTTTTAAAGTAGAAAATGCCATTCATTGTCAGAAACCATATAATCAAATCTATTTGAGATTACTTAACATCTTGATGCGCTTTCAGGCAAGTGCATTTAAATTTAGGCTTGACATTTGCCTGATAATAATGGGTGGGTATAAGTTTCTTCTACTTCTTAGCTACTAGGGTTGTAACAATACCAGTATTTTGATGTGGTGTAGTATCACAGTATACAAGTGTAGTATCACAATGCTGGATACCAGTGGTAAAAATTAAAAACTCTTGCAGTAATATTTAAAATTTCTACAGCTTAATTAACATGTCTGTCTCTGTTTTAATCAATAAAAAATTAAAAAGTGGCTAAATGTTTTAAACATTTGGTATGGTATGATTAGCAGTTAGAAATACATATAGTTGTATGCAAATGTTTTGGTGCGTCTGGTCAAATTACATGTTTTTACTTCTATTGGACTGGGGGTATTCAAAGTTCTGCTAATTGCTTGATTGCTTCATGTGCTTCACGTGTGTGTGTGTGTGTGTGTATATATGTATAGTATATGTAGTTCTGGGCTGGAACCATATGGTGTTTATCTGAAAAAGGTGCTTCACGCTTACAGCTCATTTATAACAATGAATTTTTAAAAGGGCCATTTATTAAAAGGTTCTTTAGGGGAGCAAAAGTTGTTGCTCTATGATATACAAACCCTTTTTGGTGCCTTTATTTTTAAAAATGAAGCTGGTGCTGCTTTTTTTGCCTAAAGAACTGAAAGAAATGAAAGTATTGAATTGTTTGCCACATTTGCAGTATTGAGTAAGTATTGACCATCCGACACCTCGAGCGACTCTATTAGCTACATTTGCCTACAAAAAATAAATGGACACCACACATTTTTGAACTATTCCTTTAAAATGACTCACTTGCAGAATCTGAAACTCTCTGTCATGTCTCACTCTCCAGGTCTATGCAGGCTATGACTTCACAGCTCGGGGCAGTCATGAGGTCTCTCTTCGTGCGGGTGAACCCGTGCGGGTGGTGGAGCCACATGATAAGCGGGGAAACACCGAGTGGAGTCTGGTGGAGGTCCGGGGGCAAAGGGGCTACGTGCCCTCCAACTACCTGGCCATGCTGCCCTCTGTGGTCGCCTCGCCCACCCTGCCCTACCCCTAGCGTCCATTGCCGTGGACTGTCGCCATAGCAACTGTGTCTCTGCTGCTGCTGCTGCTGCTGAAACTCTGTGTTTTCCTGCCCTCCACACACACATACATTCACACATAGACCACCATGAGCACTCTTACTGAAGGGCTCTTTATAACCACGGGGGTGGGCGATGATTCTACTGACTGGTGTGCGAGCTGGAGTGGTGCTTGGGCCCCGCCATGAAGAGGTCGTTCAGGCCCTCCGGCTTAGCCTTGCTTAGAGCCGCTGCAGGGAGGATCACACTAACAGGTGGAAATGAGCCGTGTGGTGCTGATGGAGTGTGTGTTCTGTGTGTGTGTGTGTGTGTGTGTGTGTGTGTGTGTGTGTGTTTTGAGACTCTTCAGCAGCCCTGTTTGTCTGTATGGATCCGGCTGTTCTTTAAATGTGATGAAGGGTGGCTGGATTCTTCTTCAGAGTGGGGCAGCAGAGTGACTGACAGTCTTTGGGCTTCATGCCCTGCTCTGCGGTGGAAAGAAGCTCACGATCCCTCAGATTTGCCACTGAATATGGATTTCAGGACATGAGTCAGCTCTCTTCTGCTCTAATCTCAGTGCTGGCTCCTTTGCAGAAGGAGAAATGATCGCCAGCACTGGATGAGCTTTGGATGACTAGTTTTAAATTAAATTTTAAATTGTTTCTGGCTGGAAAAGCTACTAATATTTTAGTTCTTTTCATCTTATTGACTGTAAAAAATCTACTGGATAAAACTTTCTCTAGTTGCATGACACTGTGATACTGCATACCTGTGAAGGAGTTTTTGCTCTTAGTTAATTACATTCAGAAGTGAATACTGATTTAAATGTAAAGACTTGTTTAAAGCTCCAATTAAATATTACTAAAACACTGCTACAATGACAGCAGGCCTAGCTTAAAGTTTACTAGCATGGTGGCATGATTAATGGTGCACATTGTATTAGGTGCTGTGGTATTTTTGTTGCTGTGCCAAAAAAACATCATACCAGTTAAACTGGTTCCTAGTTGAAGTTTTGCCATTATAACCTAATTGTAACTGAAGCCACTGTTGTATTACAGGTTTGGTTGGCATTTGGTTTGCTGCAGTGTGTGCTCTGCATGGTAAGAGCCTCCTTGCTGTTACATCATCCCACCACTAGGGGCAGCAAAGCATCATCTGCAGAGCCTCCTCTAGCATCACTGGCCAAAAGCTCGTTCTGTCCACACATCACTCACAGTATGTACTCTGTAGGTTAACAGACATGGACACTCTGTTCTGCACAGTGTTTAATAGACTGCGTGATTGCTTCGTGAGCAAGTATACTTGAATGTGCAATGAGCAGTGCAGCAGTACGAGCTTTTGGCTAGAGCGTTACCTCAGTCAGTATTGAGCTTAATCCCAGAAAACAGAATGGTGGGCTATATTATTCTCTGGATTCTCTCACAATTGCCTTACAGGGCTCTGGTGAGAAGCAATCACTTGCCTTCTGTTCCCTGGTGAAGCTATACTCTGATACAGGAGTAAATTCCGTCTTATTTATTTTTATTTATTTTACCTTGGCAAAGCCCTGCAATGGTGTCTATACTGATAATATGAGACTAGGTTGCTGATTTGATTTTGTATATTTGCCAATATGCATCATTGTTTCCATTTAAAATTTGCTCTGTCCTCTTTTGCTACAGTAAAATGATGTGAAACTGCTATGAAATTGGAATATTGATTTTGTTTATACACTGTAATTTCCAAAACGTTTGCTAATTCAACATTTTGTCTGAATATTAACAAAGAGCTTGTGCCATTTAATAGCCTCTGCTCTTCTGGGAAGAGTTTGCTGGATGTTGATTTTTTTTTGTTTACTGGATGTTGAGGTTTTTGATGCTGTCAAGGTCTACCACTCTGTCCACTAGCATCTAAAATAAACCTAAATGTTTACATAAGACTATCCAAGATAAATCATAACTAACATGTACATCATGTTGCAGGTTGTGAAAGATCCTCTTGAAACCAAATAAGATGCATTATGAATAAGAAGATGATGGAGGCTAGCTGGTTAAAAACATTGGATCTTTCTGTAAGTCATGAGTGTACTGTTGTGTCAGTATTTGTATGAGGGTCCCAGTAAAGATTTTAAGGTGGCCCAGTCATCACAATCACTATACCACTCCTCCAACTTATTGGATGAAGCTTCATCCCTCGAGAAAACACTGTTCTGTTGCTCCACAGCCCAGGGCTGGTGGGCTTTATCCCAGGGACGCATCATGGTCTCACGAGGCCACTGGGCAAAAGTGTCTTTGAAGGCCCTCCTCTCCCAGACAATGACAGTAATGCAAAAAGGTAGATCTGCAAAGTAACTTCAAGGGGTCCATGTCATGGAAAATTTTATTTCCTCACTTTTTCTGCAATAAAAGAGCTTGATGAATTATTCCCACTCTCACTGAAATGTCAGTAATCCATCCCTGCTCCCCTCTAGCTTACGCTTGCCATTGGGCAGAGCATCCTCTGTGATTAAAGCTGCACTACATAAGATTTGGGGATTTGGAGACCTCTCTGGTGGGAATGTGTAATTGCAGGTGACATGAGGGAGAACATTTTGTAACATTGGTTGTACTTCAGACCCCTTCCCCAAGGAGATGAATCGGATGATGAGTGCATTTAAAGAGTATTCAAAGAGAAATATGTCAAAACTTGGTGAAGGATGTTTCTTCCGAGGATGTAAGTGAATGATCTACTCTTGTTATCATATCTTAATCGGTGTAATTTTGCAATTAAGACTTAAACATTGAGCCAGAAATTCTTTTTGAGCCTGTGCGTGACATTAATACATAAAGACGTATGATATGGTCCAAAAACTCTGCAACATCCAACTTGACACGTCTGACTTTTAAATTTTTATTTCAAGCTTTACTGGGCATCTCACAGCAGCACATTTACACCCAGTTTTAGCCTGTTTCTTTTTTCTCCTTACTCAGTAATGCCACTTCTATCAATCTTAATAAAAAAATCTTACATAGTGTTGCTTTAAGCTATGTGCGTTTAGTTGGAACACCTGTGTCCGTAGTAACTGAACTCACTAAATAGAAAGGGTGTCTGTATACTTTTGGACATATAAGTAAGTATACAGCCATTTAGAGGCGTGATGCAATCGAAGAGCTGCATTTCGCTCTGATTAGGGGGTTTATTTTGGAGCGCAGCAGTGCGGGTTTGATGCTGCATTTAGCTCAAGCAGCGCTATTCCTCAGAGAGCGTGTGAATGTCACTGCACTGCCGATGATGGCTGTATCTTTCGTGCAGCATGCTGTGCACAGAGGCAGTGTGTGTTTCTCTCTCTGTGGATGTGTGCGTCCGTGTGTGTGTATGTTGCGTTTGTCAGTATCTCCTCCCTCAGCTAAGAGCTGCTTGTCAGCAGTGATTTGATGCATTGACTCCCCCCGCAGCTCCAGCTCCCTCACTGTGGCAGAGCCCAATGCTCTATAAATACATTTTTCTATTCAGTGGTCTAAAAATAGCCTCTTGTCAGCAGGATCCCTCTGCCACACAGCGCTCCCCCTGCTGGTGCTGTCAGAAATTGCAGCTCTTTTTTTTCTGCCTACCCCTGCCTCACCCCCCTCCACATGACAGACTTGCATACCCCTGTGGGAAGGAGAGTGGATCACATAACAGTGAATCGTGCCTCCTCTATTTTTTAACCCTCATCTCAAAGCCAGGGTTACGCACTAAGGTAATTAGATATGGGTTACTTCCCCACTAATAGCATATACTATGTAAGTGCATCTTAGAGTGAAGGCAAACAAGCCCAATGCTCTCTATGCTCTCTAGGTCCAGCCTGAGGCACGTGTGTGTGCGTTTTGAATGTATTAGGGAATGTGTGTGTGTTTGTGTGGTGTGGGGATCAGCTGTGCAGCGACGTTTTATTGGGCTGTAGTGACCTCAGTGCCGGATTGGATTTATTGTCCATTTTGGGGGCAGGTCTGGGCACTAAGAAGGCACATCTGTATTCAGTAGCCACGTTAGTCCCGCTCGAATGAGTGGCCCTGCTGCTGCTGCTTTGAAGGAAGTCCTGCAAGGCGCAATCAAGAGGAGATGATCTGCTGGGGGCTGGAATAGCAGCCGTGTCTTAACTCCAGCCCAGGCTTAAAGGAACACGCCAGCATTTTTCAACCTCATCTCTATCTACCACATCTGTACTGTATCATCAATTACCATGGACAATATTTTCAACACACTTCTCTGTACTTAGAAAACAACTGAACACTTGTGTACTCAAAACTCGCTTATAATAGGAGCCATTGGGCAGTTGCTGTATTCTGTGAATGAATGTGTGAAAATATGATAATGCAAAACAAATATGAAAACATAACCACAACAGTACTTAAGTCTTATAAGTCAGACATGAGAGAAAGCTGATCTTTTTATCCAAGTTTTGACCTCTAAACAGCACAGTAATATGTTGGTAACGTGTTGAATTCATCCTTCGGGATAGCTAGTAAATTCTGCAGATTTACAGCTTCGAATTTGAAATTTACAAATACATTTGACGGAGCTGAGTTGAGCATCAGATGTCCAAAATGATCTCACGTTGGGCAGCACAGTGGCGCCGTGGGTAGCGCTGTCACCTAACAACAAGAAGGGCCTATGTTCGGCTCCCCGGCTGGGCGACCAGGGTCCTTTCTGTGTGGAGTTCTGTGCATGTTCTCCCCGTGTCTGTGTGGGTTTTCTCCCAGTCCAAAGACATGCAGTCAGGCCAATTGGACACGCTAAATTGCCCCTAGGTGTGAATGTTTATGTCTGTCTGTCTGCCCTGCGATGGACTGGTGACCTGTCCAGGGTGTTTCCTGCCTTCCACTCAATGACCGCTGGAGTTGGCTCCAGCAGCCCCCTGCAACCCAGAAGGATAAGCATCAAAGGTAATCGGCTGTATGGTTAGGTTGACAAAAGTTTCTTTACGCCAAGTTTCAGCTTCATATATTCATCATAATTAAAATAGTCAATAAACAGTGTAAAATCAATAGACGAAACAATGCATACAATGAACTGGAAATAAAAGTGTGAATAAAAGTTGTCGCTGTCAAAAAAAGAAATAAAACATGTACTCCAAAACAGCAACTTTCCAGGACAAGGCAAGAACATTTTTCATTTTTTAATGTAAGTTAATGTAAATATATTTTTTCCATGTAATTCTGGAGCATTTCTATTGGTCAGGTCATCCTGATATTTTCACACAAGGTGCTGTGTTTGAATGATAAGAAAAAATGAAAAATGGAGCAAATGAAAAAGCAACAATGTGTCAAATGTATGTTAACACGTAAAAAAACATACTGTCTGAATTTATAACATTACTTGGTTAACTGACCTTTTATGACCCTTTTGGCACCGTTGTTGGGAATGTTGAGGAGCTATCAAGGTAATGATGACCTAAACAGAGGCTCCTCCCACCTCCTGCCTCTCAGTAAGAGGGGGGCTTAAGATGCACGTGAGCCACCTCCCACACAGCCTTCACACACTGACACACTCCACTTAACGTGTGTGTGTGTATGTGATTATGTTTGTGCTGGAGGGGAGACTCAGTAAGCCACACAAATAAAAGTAAAGGCATGGTTTGTGAACCTGTTGACCCTCATACACTGAGGATCACTGACCTTTCTCACACATGCAGTCAGTCTTATCAGTCGCTCTATCTAGAGCCAGAGAGTTCTAAAACCTGCCCAGCCTACACAAGTCACAGTATGCCAAATAAATCACTCATCCACAGTGGGTCTGGTGGGTCTATTCTGGTGGGTATTTCTCAAAGCAGGGTTTCTCAGTAACCTGGACAACAACAGCAATAGTTTGGCCCAAAATCTAGTTTACACAATTTGACCCTTACCCCAAATGTGGTCAGTCAGCCAAGACATGTTTTGTGGCCAAAGTTTCTTTCTTCAGTCGTACTCTGGAGCTACAAGGCTAATGTAGCTAACAAGTAATGGAAGCTTACAGTCTGCAAAGTACCCCTTGATATTCGGTGGGTCCCATGTTGCCTCACTAATCCAGCTGCTCACTTGCCATAGTGGCACTGTAACAAGCTTCAATTCACTCCTTTCACCAACCTCTTGGGAAAACTGGGCAAGTTTTCAGGTTTACAAATACATTATGGCATGTTGTACAGTTTTTCCAAGCTATTCCGGGCATACAGTTACAGTTACAGTTGCTAGTCTATGACAGACCAACTGGGTGAACTAGTCTGCTGCAGTGCCAACATGAGGCAGACCAGTGCTGCCGAATACTGAAGACAAACCTCGCCATTTGTGAGAGAAGCAGGTTAAACAATGACAGCATAACATCATAATAAGTTTATTTTCAGTAACCCCCCAGAATCTTGATTTTGAGACATTTAGGGGGTCCAAGAGGTTAATTAGGAAGGACCCCCTGTATTTCACACCTTATGCCACATTAATTAGCATTCTGGGGATCAGTGCTGGACTGAAATCAGCAGAAAATGCTGGACTTAGAACAGAAAAAACAGCAGTATGGGCTGATGCTGATTGTTTCAATATCAGTATCAGAAGAGAAAAAGTGGTATTGTGCCTCCTCTAGTGCAAACTGCATGCCTAATTTAACTTAAACTACTCTGAATTGTTAAGTCTCAAACAGACTTGCTTACTTCATGTCTGACACAGTATACCATACTGTTATCTTTAAAAATAGACAAAAGTACACTGCCTAGC